GTGCGGTAATAGGCACGAATGACTTCATGACCGAGTACGTAACGGGAAAGGTTAATAAGTGGGTGAAGGAAATCCAAGCTCTGTCTAATATTGGTAAAACACAGCCACATGCGGCTTTTGTGGCATTTACTCATGGAGTCAAGCATCGCTGGAATTACCTGATGCGCACTATCTCCGATATTGGACCCCTCCTCCAACCTCTGGAAGAAACCATCAATGGTTGCTTTTATCCCAACACTAGTGAAAAACCCTTATTTAGCCCCAGCAGAAAGGTCACTCCTTGCATTACCACCGAGACTGGGAGGAATGGGATTGACGAATCCAGAGGAACTTGCCGCCACAAAACATCAGAACTCTGTCAAGTTCACGGCAACCCTCACTGGCCACATAATAGCTCAGAATGCAACAAATCAGGTGGATATCAACGAATTAAACAAGATTCAACGGTTCATTATGGCAGAACGGCAGCACATCCAAAGTGATAAACTTAAACAACTGATGCTGCCATTGTCAGTAACTTGAAAAAAAAAGTAGCTATAGTGCAGGAGGTGGGCGCCTGAACTGGCTAACAACGTTACCAATAAGGGCAAAAGGTGTCAGCCTTAATAAACAAGAATTCACAGATGCCAATGCTCTAAGGTACCATAGGCCAGTGGAAGGTTTGCCCTCCCAATGTGTGTGTGGCTCTTCCTATGACGCCGATCACACTATGGTGTGCAAGAAAGGGGGCTTCTTATGCATGAGACATGACGAAGTATGGGATCTTAAAGCAAATATGTTGAAGGAAATCTGCCATGATGTCAGGGTAGAACCGACCCTCCTTCTATTGGACGGTGGGAATTTCCATCACAAGACTTCAAACACATCCAGCAAAGCCCATGTGGACGTCAGTGGTCGAGGATTCTGGACGTGCGGACAGCGAGCCTTCTTTAACATATGGATTTTCGATCCCATGGCTGCATGTCACCGTAACCTAGTTCTCGATGCTGCACACAAGAGGAACGAGAATGACAAGAACAGGGTATATGGGAAGATAATTCTGAATGTTGATCAAGGCAGCTTCACTCTTCTGGTGCTCACAACCTCTGGCGGGATGGGACCAAGTGCAAGATGTTTCTATGCCAGACTCACGGAGGTGTGATCCGAACCGAAGCAGCAGCCCAGAAGCTACATTACATCCTAGATTATATGTAGACTGCCCTTCTCTCTGAATAGGTCTCCATTGCTTTGCCTCAAGGGAACGAGAGCATCGGCCCGAAAGCCGACAACAGTTGCAGATATTGACTATGAGGCAACAGTCACTGAATGGCGCAATCTGCGGCTCAACAAACTCAACACAGCTAGGATAGCTACTTATGTAGTAGAATATTTAATTTTACGATAATAAAATGGCAGCGAAGGTGTGGCTATTTGGGGAGGATGGAGGCCACGTTAAAAAAAAAGTAGTAGTAGTAGTAGTAGTAGTAGTAGTAGTAGTAGTAGTAGTAGTAGTAGTAGTAGTAGTGGTACAACACACAATAAAATTCGAAATAACTGAGGTCAAGCAAGTGGCATATGCTGATGACCTTAGAGGAGCAGGAAAAGTGGAGGACATCAAAAAATGGTAGGACCTGGTAACATCGCGAGGTCCACAAATAGGGTACCACCCAAACGCCAGCAAGTCCTTCCTCATTGTGAAGCCAGGACATTATGAACCGGCAATGGGTGTGTTTGGCGGTAATGAGGTCAAAATAACAAGGGAAGGCCAAAGACACCTAGGCGCAGTAATAGGCATGACGGACTTCAAGACCGAGTACGTAACGGGAAAGGTGAATGAGTGGGTTAGGGAAATGCAAGCTCTGTCTGAGATTGCTAACACAGAGCCACGTGCAGCTTTTGCGGCATTCACCCATGGAGTCAAGCATCACTGGAACTACCTGATGCGCACTATCCCTGATATTGGACCCCTCCTCCACCCTCTGGAAGAAGCTATCAGCGTCAATTTCATTCCCAAATTATTGACACACCCTCACTTAACCCCAGCAGAAAGATCACTCCTTGCACTACCACCGAGACTGGGAGGTATGGGATTGACCAATCCAGAGGAGATTGCTGCCACCGAACAACAAAACTCAATTAAGATCACGGCAGCCCTCAAGGACCACATAATAGCTCAGAACGCAACAGGGGAAGTGGATACCAGTGAAGTAAACAAGATTCGAAGGTCCAATACGGCAGAACGACAGCACAGCCAAAGTGATAAGTTGCAGCAACTGTTGTTGCAAGTATCCAGAGAATTTGGAAAAAAATAGTAGCTGTAGCGCAGGAGGCGGGCGCCTCGAACTGGTTAAGTACGTTACCGATAAGGGCAAATGGTTTCAGTCTCAATAAACAAGAATTTACAGATGCCAATGCTCTAAGGTACCATAGGCCAGTGGAAGGTTTGCCCTCCCAATGTGTGTGTGGCTCTTCCTATGACGCCGATCACGCTATGGTGTGCAAGAAAGGGGGCTTCATATGCATGAGGCAAGACGAAGTAAGGGATCTCACAGCTAATATGTTGAAGGAAATCTTCTGTGATGTTAGGGTAGAACCGACCCTCCTTCCATTGGACAGTAAGATTTTCCAACATAGGACTTCAAACACATCCAACGAAGCCCGTGTTGACGTCAGTGCTCGAGGATTCTGGACGCGGGGACAGCGAGCCTTCTTCGACATCATGATTTTTTATCCCATGGCCGCATGTCACCGTAACTTAGCTCTCGATGCTGCACACAGGAGGGTCGAGAACGACAAGATAAGGGAATACGGGGAGAGAATTCAGAACGTCGATCAAGGCACCTTCACTCCTCTAGTGTTCACAACCTCTGGTGGGATGGGACCAAGTGCAAGATGCTTCTACGCCAGACTCGCGGAGGTGATATCCGAACAGAAGCAGCAGCCCAGAAGTTATGTTACAGCCTGGATGAGATGTCGACTGCCCTTCTCTCTCCTTCGGTCGGCTTTGCTCTGCCTCAGGGGAACGAGAGCTGGCCCCAAAGCCGACAACTGGTGCAGATATTGATATGATGCTACAGTCACTGAATGCCGCATAGATCTGCGGCTCAACTAATTCAACACAGCTAGGATAGCTACTTATGTATTAGGATATTTAATATTACGGTAATAAAATGGTGGCGAATGTATTTGGGAGGCTGGAGGCCATTGAAAAAAAGAAGAAAAAAGTAGTAGTAGTGTGATCAATGATGGTAATAGTACTGAATCATATAAGCAAATTCTTATCCCATGTTATCTCCTGCTAGTGGGTAACAGAGACGTTTGGTGTAGTAAAAATATTTCCATTGTCGTCTACGTGAGAGCTGCACAAAAATGTAAATAATATTACCTGAGTTGATATCTCCATTTGTTTCAGGCGCCATTTACTAAGCGGGAACTATTTACAATTACAGCTGTGAGATTCATAACTGTATTCCCCCAAAACAAAAACAAAATAATTTCATCTGTTTCCAGTAATTTGTGTTCAGGGCGAAAAAAAAACTCAAATCCATTTCTCAATTATCGTTATACAGTCAGTTAGACTTGATCTATGTGATGATAGTCTCTGTGACTTTATAGAGTTTGCAGTGATACAATATGAGACCGGACAGAGATTTACCTAAAAACTGTAAAATCCGTCAGAATAATCTCCTTGTTTACAGCCGACGACATTGTTGCCATGGAAATGTGACGTAAAACTATCACAATATTTTGTAACGATACAGTAAACTTTAAAGACATATACACTGAAAAAAAATTAAAAAAAAGCCTTACACCGTCGAACAATATCGGGGTGGCTCTAAGCGCATTCAAGGGCTGAGCAGCGAGTATGGTAGAAATTGGCTGAGCCGATTAACTGCAATATATTTGGCCAATCTCCGAGGCGGTACCCGGGTGGCTGGCTGGCTGGCTGTCCGCACCGTAACCCGGGGCTTTCACCACCAAACATTTCACAAATTTTCCAAAATACAAACTATACCATTAACATTACCACAACGTAACGATCACTTTTGGTCATGGGTAATATTCTTACTTTGACATGTTGTAAAAGTATTGATGACTTAAGTGATAGAGTTAGTGAGGTACTCAGGTCACAGCGAGGCATCACAAACTAGATCATCTTATTAATAAAGTGACTCACGGGGTCAAGCAACAGTCTTCTAACTTTCACTGCACTGTACCTAACCTAACCTAACCTAACCTAACCTAACCTAACCTAACGTAAGCTTAACGTTGGTGTTGGTAATACGTTTTGTACCGAGTCTTTCATGTGATTCCTTATGGTATACACCCTTGATGTTCCGGTATAGTGTGTAAAACATTTCATATCTGTATCACAATGTTGATGGCAACTTTACACACACACACACACACACACACACACACACACACACACACACACACACACACACACATTATATACTGTATATATGAGTTTATCTCTGCAACACTGACCATATTATGCTCTTTGAAACTGAGACAGTATCATACACTACACCGAGTCAGTATCATACACTTCACTGAGCCACCATCATACAATACACTGAGCATCATACACTGAGCCACCATCACACTACACTGAGCCACCACCATACACTACACTGAGCCACCACCATACACTACACTGAGCCACATCATACACTACACTGAGCCGCCATCATACACTACACTAAGCCGCCACCATACACTACACTGAGCCACCATCATACACTACACTGAGACAGTATCATACACTACACTGAGCCGCCACCATACACTACACTGAGCCACCATCATACACTACACTGAGACAGTATCATACACTACACTGAGCCGCCACCATACACTACACTGAGCCACCATCATACACTACACTGAGACAGTATCATACACTACACTGAGCCGCCACCATACACTACACTGAGCCACCATCATACACTACACTGAGCCACCACCATACACTACACTGAGCCACCATCATACACTACACTGAGACAGTATCATAC